ACATAATGCGAAAGGATTATTAACTTTTCTAAGATAAAACGTTTCAATGGAAGGATACATTGACTCTAAAAGACGCTTCTTCCGTTTTCTGATGAATTATTGTTTACAGCGACCACATAATCAGAATGACATGAGACAAGCTAAGTAAATTGAATGAGATTGACTTCAATCTTGTAGAGACGATAAGAAGTTTAGAGTTTCGAAACGGTGATGAAACTATTTCTAGTATTAGAAGAAACAAGCAGACCTTTCATCGCTTTCAGTCAAAACATTATTACATGTTGATATTTTATAGGGCTTTGATTGTTGATTCTCTAGGTACAGGCGGTACGACAACAGCCTACGTGTGTGAATTAACCGAAGGTATGAATGCACCGCAGTACCTACCATCAGTGTCCTACACTGGAACGTCAGATACGAGTCCTCAAGATGTGCAACCCGATGGCAAAGGTGTCACGTTCAATCAATCACCGACATCTTCTCCAGAATCAACAATTTCTATCAAATTTCCAACCCACACTACACCGATCGTCCACAGAGTCTCTATCGCAACGCCATCAACAAACACAAATGTCAAACAAATTGAAGTCGTTGTTTTAGCACCAAACAAAACCACATTATTTAATGCGATATCAACACTAGATAATCCGACTGTCACGTTAGATAGATAGATAGATTTATTTTACACAAAGGTAGAATATCACAAGAAAGCACCAAAAAGACTTGTGGCATCCGGAGACACCTGATGATAACCTATACTAAAAAGAATGGCTACTATAACACATACATTGTAAGAGAAAACATAAGTGTGATACATTTTAAGAGAAAGAGTAGATCTAAACATAAAAATTATTGAAAGCCTAGGTGATCTCTTAACATACGCTTAAATACAGATAAAGAAGACTGACATGCTAAAACCGAAGGAAGTTCATTCCATTCCTTTGAGCCACGTGGAACGAAAGAGCCGAATGCAGCTTTTAGCTTGAGACGAGGAATGAAAACGCGATTATTATGACCTAATCGAGAACTTTGACACGTAGTTAGCGGTGAGATGAAATCAAAAGATGAGAGAGGACTTTTATTATAGAATATTTTATGAAAATATAGAAGACGATAGTAGAGACGTCTGTCAGGAAGTGGTTGAATTTTAAATTTTTTGAGCAAATAAGAAGAGGAACTATTAAAGTCTTGTGAGATAATTCTACTAGCAAGACGCTGAATTTTGTTCAGAATATTAAGGTGAGCGGTAAAGGTTGAATCATAGATAACACAAGGATATTCGAGCACTGGTCTTACACAAGTTTTATACAGATGGCAGCGTAAAAACGAGGGCGAGTCTCGAAAAATTCTGGAAATAGAGCCTAACAAACATTTGCCGAGATTTTGTTGAAACATACTCAATGTGACATTTCCACGTTAAATTATGCGAGATAATAACACCAAGTAATTTGAGAGATGAAACACGCTTAATATTAATGTTTTTTATTGAAAGAGTGAGCGATGGAAGTGTTTTTGTAGAGTTAGAAAATAAAATCCATTGACATTTGTTTATGTTTAATTTTACCTCATTTATATCACACCAAAGAAGAAGCTCATCGATACATTTTTGTCTTTCGAATATATGTGTGATGCAAAAGACCTCGTCAGCAAAGAGACAAGAAAGAAGAGAAGATTTGAGCGACGGCGAAAGATCATTAATGAATATAAGAAATAAAATCGGGCCTAAAAA